AAAGCCTGCTCGCAAAAGCCTCTGTACTTCCTCTGTTATTTGCAACTCAAGCTCCAACCGAAAGTTTCTTTACGCTTGCTTAACCGTGCATGCGTCTGGTCGCACATTAAGATGATGAGCCACTACACGAGGGTCTAGCCCCGACATTTCTTCGTACGTCCAGGCAAAGACGTCTTCAAATTCCTTGAGCAGGGCTATCAGTGCCACCTTTTCATTTTGTTCCAACTGCTTACTTACATAGACCACCCGGTAACGGCCGTCGTTGGCTAGATTAACTTCTTCCAGCTCTCCCTGAATAAGCCGGGCAGATTCAGCTGACTCCATTCTAACTTCCTTCTCATGGCTCGGAGACTTCACTTGACATGATTCCACACGGGGGCGCGATCTCGCCCGAAGTCGTCCCCCCAACATCGTTATAAGCGATAAACGATCCTTCCGTCGGCTAAACGTACCCTTTTGCAAATAATCGATCTCTTCTGATTGGCACTCGCTCCTGGCATCTTTTCACTCCCTTGTCGGTCAATATCCTCCCACTTCGGTAGAGGGCAAGCCTTCAACTGTTGGGGTTCCTCTGCGTCCTCTAATTCATTAAAGAATCCGGCCTCCACCATATGAGACTCTCTGTTAGTGAACGGTCGATCAGAGCATCGGACCGTTACTTGCTTCCCGTTCCAAAACCCTTTCATACACTGATGGTACGAAGATGGGACAATCCCAAACTTATGCATCCAACCTCGACCCATAAGTAAGTGGTAAGAGGTGTCTGAATCAATAACATGGAACTTAACTGGACCTTTGAATTTTCCGATAACCAGCTCGGTTGTCACATGCCCCTCAGTCCTTCGAATATCACTCCCAAACCCGGCAATTTCAGTCGACTTCCGGATAAGTTTCTCGCTCGGAAATCCAGTGTGGCGGAAGATTTCCAACGGCATGATATTGAGGGATGAACCATTGTCAAGAAACGCCCACTTAAGCTCGACCCCATTGAGAGAAGCCGTAACATACAATGGCCTGTTGTGTGGAGTAGGAACACATTTGTCTTCCTCAGTAAAGACTATGGCAGATCCGGACGATCTCTGAGGTACGGGGAGTGATGTGATTGACGCAACTTCCTTTACACCCTCCTTCGCCACCAACCACAGGAACTTAGCTATTTCCTTCTGAGCCAGATGTCACGGGCTTAGAGTTTCAGCACCACTCTAGCTGCTCCCGTGCGGCACCAAGACGTTGCTTCTACTCTCGCAAGTACTTGGTCAGCCTAACTCCCGTGCACACTTTAGCCAACACACTCCCCTCGTGCGCTTACTAGTGTTGTAGTGGCCCTCGCCCTCTCCTCACTTGGCTTGCACACTCACACACACTAAGGCACTTAAGTTGGCAAGGAAAGAACACTTCTATTACTTCAAAGAATATTTTGTACAAGGCTAGCACTCAAACTCTCTACAAGGCTCTCAAGACTCACTCTAGGACTTGTTGGTTACAAAATGAAGTCCTACTCCTATTTATAGGCATCCCCATCCCAAATGGATGGCTAGGATGCATTCTAACCAATGGTGGAGATTGATTCTCTAGAATCTTCTTCCACCTTCTACACATCTCCATACATATCTACAACATTCTAGAACCCTCCATACTACTCCACATAATTCTGGAGAATTCTAGAACCTTCCACACACTTCTAGAATATACTACACATATCTAGAATTTTCCACACAACTCTAGACTACTCCGTAAGACTCTAGAAACTCCACTTGCCATGCAGCGTCCTCCTCAGCGTCTGCGTGTCGCCTGCGTGGCACAACCTCCATAGGCGGGGCGTGACACAGAGGAGAGAATTACATCTTTTGAAAGATACTTTTGACGGGGGTAGTTTCCAGCAAGCGAAATGCATCGAAATCGTCTTCCCTAACCAGCGCAACCTGGGCAATACTGTCCCCATGTTGATAGTAGTCATTGCCGGGCGAGATAACATCGTCCTCGGTTCCTTCTCTGTCATTTGCCAGGCCGAAGACCATCATTGCAACTCCTCGATCATGTGCAGGAAAAGGTTCCTCCCTCACGTCCCTGGGAGGGAAGATGAGTTCGCCATTAGCAATCCGTCTATGGAAAGTATTTCGCAATGCCCAACAGTTGTAGGTAGGATGACGAGTATGTCAATGATACATGCAGTATTTGGGGTGAGCCATTTCTTCTGTAGTGGGCTCACGAGGAACCTTAGGCAGTCTGATACCCCCATGTTGGATCCACTTCTTAAGAATGGTTTCCACCTCTTCCGGAGTGCATGGGAACGGAGGAGGCGCCTCGTCCGGATTCTTTGCTCGAGGGACGCGGGCTGGTCTCGCACTCCTTTTGCTGTTAGGCTCGTCTGCAGCCAAAACCTGAGGTCTACGTCTGCCTCGGTACTCTTCTTGTGTAACGCCCTGCGCGCAAATAGCGAGGTTACTCGCCAAATTTCGAGATGCCTATATCAAATCAGCAAAAGTGGGGAGTTTTAGGTTAATGAGATGGATTCGGTAGGATCCCTGCATGCCCTGTATGTAAATCTTAGCCAGTGCCTCTTCTTCATGGGTTTCGTAACATTTCATAGCTCGATCATGAAATCTATAGACGTATGTAAGCAAGTCCTCACCAAGACCCTGAATCTCCTTGGTCAAGGAGAGGGTAGTCATCCTTTCCTCTGCCTGAAAGAACTTCGATTGGAAAATCGTGGCTAATTGGTTCCAAGTAGTGAGCGACCCGGACTCTAAATTCGCATACCATTTGTAGGCCCTATCCGTGAGAGTTTTTAAGAACTCTCTAAGTCGCAGAGTATGATCGTTTCCGAAGGGCCCCAAGGCTTCAATAAACAGCACCACATGCTCTCGCGGATTCCCTTTTCTTCTGTTAAATTTACTGAACTTAGGGGTCAGATACCCAGGGGGTAAGGGAGAAGCGCTATGGATTGCGCGTAGGGTGGCTCAAGAGCTATTTCTTGCATCAGCATATTCTTTTCATTTCGCAGCAGCGTTTGCAAATCCGCCATAGTTACATACGGCGACCGCTGCGCAAGATCTTGTTGATATCCGAGCTCTTCTGAACCCACGTCCCTGTGTCGTGCCTCCCTTCGGCTGGTACTTGGCATACTCAATCTTGCGGGCGCCGTGAAGGGAGTACTGAAGAGAGTTCGGCGGGCCCGTGGCGGGCGTCTCGTGACCGCCTGCATCGGTCAACGGCTTGTCTTACTTCAGCGGATGATGAGAGCGTATGTCGTGTCAAGTTTTCTGGGGTCGCGTGCCCCCCAGTAAACTCGTCGGAGGGAACACCGCTTGGACCTGTATCTCGTCGAGGTACCCCTCTATCAACAATCTCCCGCAGCAATGTCACCACCTCTCTTTGTGTGCCCTCTAACTGTTCCATCCTATGTGACAGCGCATTGTGGGCTTCAACCAAGGCATCAGGATAGATAATCCTAGTTCCAGGAAAATACGACCCAGGCATACTCACAGATCTGTTATAGCCCTCGTCTAGAGCAGGGCTAGTTTGGGAGGGTGGATTGATTTCCCGTATGCTTGACATATGTGAAGCACTCCTCCCTAGTGAAGTCGCCAAAATGTTAATGATAGTTCGTGAGTAGGATGAGGAAATCGTTCCACGTAAGCCAAAAAGTCTGAGATCAATATCTAAGTGGAGATCCAAGCAACACAAGGGATTCTCTAGGTATGGAGATTAAGAAAGGGAAGGCCGACTTTGGTACCATGTGAGCTCGAGCTTATCAGAGGATAGTCGTTAATGTGGTAGTTGTCCGTCTTAAAGGCTGATTAACACCCCTATTTATAGTGTTTACCTCCTCGGTCAATGTCTTTTAGTCCTTTAGCTGAGCCCGCTCTTACCCAAAGGTTTGATGGTCTCTTCTTCTGAAGGATGAGACATTGATGGATGGGCCGCGGCGCTTTGCCCCCCCGATCAAAGGAGGTAACGGCACTCCCTAATTAATACGGGTCTTATCAAACATCTTTCGCAATTAATGCGTTTCTTATCCTTCATTGCTCGAGCTTAGGTACCAAGTATCCTTTCCCCCTTGTGTTGGCCTCGGGATGAGGTGACCCCTTGGATCTCAGCCACCTATCCACATGTTCTCAGATTCCCATGCTGGGGATAGGTCCCTTTCGAGGTCCTGCATTCATGACCTCGCAGGATCCTATCCCAATTTTATCCCGAGGTCCTTTTTGCCGAGAAGGGAAATGTGTAAACAGGTTAGTCGAGGTCGCTCTTTCAGAGAGCGCCCTAGAACGAGCCAGGGGGGGAGGAGCCCATCCGACTGGAGCGGGACGCGTCCACAGTAGAGGAAGGGTAGCGACCCCTTCCTCGGCCAGTGAGTTCAGTTATCGGATAGGTAGCTCGAGAATACCTAATCCATCATGGACACGCCAGGTAAGCACTGGCCAGTTGTGCCTATGTTGCAGATGTGGCGCCACTTAATCAACTATCGTGGCGCGGTCATCAACATATATATATATATATATATATATATATATCAAAGATCACAATCATATTTTCTCAACCCGAACTTGCACATGCTTTTTTCTCAAGATACATCTAAATACCCTATTTTCACAAAACCAAAAAGACAAAAAAATTCTGCACCCAAATTACAGATATGAGAGTCCGCATACCATATTAAGTTTGTTTCAGACCATTTAAAACCAGATTTAATGAAAATATGTAACATGGACTCAAACACAAGCAAGAACCACAATGATTGGACAGACAAGAAACTCAACTAACATTGAATCTAATTCTATCCAAGATTCACAAAGACCCCATCTAAGTACTCCTAGATGTGTGATCAAAACTATAAACTTCAGAACTAAACAGAAACAAGAATAAGGCAAAAGAAATCTACTCAAAGCATATATACAAATAAATGAACCAAATGGATGATAGTCCATGCAATTAACCAAAAAACCCTAATCAAGAATATGCATAAACCCTAACCAAACAAGAATAAAAATCATTACCCGCACAATAGTAGTGACGTCCCCAAGAGGTGCTCTAGGATACCAAGAAGGTAACACACTGTTCGTGGAACGTCCTCGGTCTCGCCGGCCATTTACCATCAAAGTGTTTTGACAATACACCGACGGTGATCTGGACAAACTCCGGCCACGCCCATTTCCAATCCTTGGTGTTCCGAAACTACCCCTTCCAACAGCACCACGACGAATATCCGCCAGTCCAATCGATCCTTGTGTACCCCTCCCAGACGGAGTCTCAAACCCCATCTCTGGCTCGTCAACTAGAATTCCCAGAGCACCGATTATTCGACGTTGAAGAGCAAACATCGCCGAAACGTTATTGGGTCTGGACAGTCTGTCTCTTGATTCCGGCATTGTGCCAGGAGTAGGGGAGGAACCTCTGACGGCAGCGATGTGGTGTCTGGACTAACAGAAAGAACACGCCTATGCTGGGATTGTATCAATCTTCAACTGAAAATATAAGTAAATGCACATATAATCAAATAAAGTTATCAAACGAAATTGGCTCATATCTGCCTGAAATTAGGTCATTTCTAGACGGAGCCATGAAAATGACAATTTTCCGGTAACCAAGTATTGTTCCGGTGAAAAATAAGGGGATCTATTAAGAGATAAGGACTTGTATTGTCAGTTTCCGGCTACTCAGTTGTCAGATTTTCCGATTTCCTGAGAAAGAAATGGTTTCTTTACCTTGAAAATGGACGTTTCTTCTCGTTGATCGATCAGGAGTGGCTCTACTCTGCAAATCTCCTCAAGATGAAGAGAGAAAGCTTTGAGAGTGGCGAAATGGGAAATTTCAAAATGAAATTTGGGCGGTACTTATACAAAATTAAATTTTAAAACAATTTTTTACTCAAAATAATAATAATTATTATAAATATACCAGCACGTGCAGGAAAGAAACTCGTGTGCATCTTTTTCTGTTCTATGTGGTCACTGGTCAAACTGGTCTAAATACATATACTACTATCTATTTTTTTTTTTTTTTTTTCATATCCAATTTTGGGTTAAAGTCCAATAACCAAAGTGAGAAATATATTCATGATATTTGTCTATTGCCAAGAATAAAAAATAAAAATAAAAAAAAAATCACCATATTTGAAATAATAAAAAAAAAAACACCTTATATTTAGAAAAAATCAAGAAATACTGAAAAAAATGTAGTATTGAATAATTTTAATTATTCATAATATTAAAGTTAAAAAGTGATGCATAATTTTGAGATCCAATTACTTGAGATTTTTGCCTGTTGATGTCCTGTTTAATATTTATTTAAAACACGAGAAAATGCTCTTAGAAAGTTTACAAATGATATTTTGACCATATGTGCTAATAAAAATACAATAGATATAATCGTTAATTATTACATTTGGGTGAAACTCAAAACTGAAAGGGTATGCCAATATTATTTTTGAAATCATATAGAAAGTGTCTATTATTTGGGAGGTAAGTATAATTATCTCTTTATCTTTTTATCTAATTATTTATTTTTATGAAATTTTTTTACTCCCTCCCTTTCATAAAAGTTTTTCACGTTGGTGATTATGGGATAGGAGGAGTATTATTTTTTTTTGGTAGTACCAACAACTTAGAAAAAGGAGTATCGTATATAGATGCTTATATAGATATACGAAAACAATAATGAACTTAGAAGGTTTGAATGGGTAGGTAAAGTATGCACTGGAAAATATATGCGCAGAGATGATGAAAAAGTAGAAAATGTTTAGCATATGGCTCGCAGTAATTTTCGGGTAGTTGGTAATAAATTCAAGAGACATTACTTTATTTTTTATTTTTTTTTTCCTACCGGGCTTTAAATTTTCTTTTAACCTGGAACTCTGCCGTATAAAAAATCCATATGCATTGCATCTATATATATTTTGAGTATAAGTATACAGAATCGTTGAACAGAATGATGTGACAGTTCAACTGGGAGATAATGTGATTTTTCACTATCCCTAATTTTAGAAATCTCTCTGCGGTCCGCATTTTTTTTTTCCCTCCGATTCATGCTATTTGTAACAACTCCAAATATTTTTGGCTTTTTGACGATTTGGAGCTATTAAGTACCTCTGCTAAATCAAATATATATATAAGTATCAATCTCCCTGTATATGCACATGTTGATCCAATTTTTTTATTTTTTTTTTTAAGAGTTCAACAGCAATGTCAATCAATGGAATAGAGATTATTTTAAACGACTAGTACTAATCAAACAATTTCATCTAAAATTTGTAACAACATATACATATATAAGGTCAAAAGTTGCAAATCGTTAATCGTTTGTTGTAGATAATCAAAACATTTAGAGTTGTCAAACGCTTGTTGTAAATAATCAAAACATTTATAATTGTTGCAGATCGCATCGAATCGAAAGAGAAACTTCGTCTGAAAAATTAGGGACGGCAGAAAGATTTCTAAAATTATGGATAAAGAACAGTAAACGTGAATAATTATATTAGTAAAAAATCATGTTGTCTGACTTCAGTGTAACTATCATTACTCATGTATTTTTTGTAATAGTTTGACCCTTTGTTTTTTTTCAGATGGTTTACCGGGCGAGTTTACATTTTGCCCCAAGAGATCTATTGTTCACTATTTTTTATTTTTTCTGATGAAAAATCAACGTACCAAGTTTACAGTTTGCATTTTTTAAATTTTTAGATGGTTTAGTAGGCCGTGTTTACAGTTCACCCTAATAGATCCCTTGTCCATTGGACCACTTGTACGAGTTATATAATACATTGCAATTGATCTATTGTAATACCCCGTAATTAATTAAAGAGTTTAGTGTATTTAAATTCAATTATGTGTGGATTCCTGTACCTATTATTGTGCATGCTTCATTGTTATATTAAGTTCATTTAATGGTGCATGTAAATTAATTGTGTATGTTAAAATAGTAAATTTATGTATTTAATTGTGCACGTATTATTATAATTAATTTTAATTGTTGATTATGCTTAATTAAGCAATATTAGTTAATTAGAATATTATATTTGTGTTATAAAGTATTATGATGATATAATATATTATTTTGTAATAACAATAATAATAATTATATTAGTTTAATAATAATAATAATAATATTATAATAATAATAATAATAAAAGTTTATTAATAATAATATTAGTAATAATAATAATAATATTTATAATAATAATAATAGTATTAAACCAAAGTCATGATGAAATTAGAGATTAGGATAGGATTGCATCAATGGTTATGGTTGGAATTAAAGCCATATAGGTAGGAATATGAGAAATGGGTGAGAAGTTATTATAAATTAGATATTTGTAATATTTATATTATATATTTTGTCTATAAATTAACTAGCTTGCCTTAGAAAAAAAAAATAAAGGGAGTTAGAAGCAAAGTATCAATTCTAGAGAGCTATTTTATAAGAGTGAAAGGAAAAGAAAAAGAGAAAGAAGCTTGGACCGGTGTAGGCAATTTTACCCGACTACGCGCAGACCGGCGGATTTATTTTAAATCCAAAAAGGCAAGTTATTATCTACTTTTCCCCTTTGAATTAATAAATTAATTGTTTAGCTTATTTTTATGCATAGAGCCAAGGTTTGGAGGTTAATAAATTATTAATTTTATTTTATTAAATTAATGGAATTTTAATTATATAGGATGGTATATATTTATTTAATGTCCTATGAAATTAATAATGGCTAAAAATAATTAAATAAGACTTTAGGGATTTTTCTAGAATTTTCTAGATTTTTCCGGGCATTTTCTGCAATTTCCGGCGACCTTCCGGCGAGTTTTCCGGTCGCCGGCAGTGGGGGAGACGACCGGAGTGATCCGGTGCGACGCGGCACACCATAGGAGGGTGTACGCGCGCATCCTGGCCATTAGTGGAGTCTGATTGATCCGGTGCATCGCGGTCCATGATACCGCGGTACACCCGGATCTGTGGGCGTTGGATGGAGGGAAGATAGGGTGAGATGATCCGGTGTGACGCGAGTACGGAATCCGGATGCAGCCAACCAACCAGGAAGTGACACGTCAGCAAGGCACCCTTAGTGCGCGCGTGGCAGCGCGTGCGCGCGCGTGGGAGCGCGTGGCTGATGCCAGACGCGCGTGGAGGCGCGTGGGAGAGTGGGGAAGGTTGGGCTGCGCGTGGGGAGGCTCTGGGAGGCGCGTGAGGGCGCGTGTGGGGTCCCTACAGCTGCTGGAAATTACCAGAATACCCCTAGGGCCTGTTTTGTAAATTCCAGAACCTTAAACTTGGATTTTTAGGTACTGTGTTGGTAATTACGGGTTTAACGGGCCACGAAATTATTATTTTAATACCCGTTACTTATTCTTATGGCCGATTAATCTTTTCTAAGCATTTATTGGCTCGTTCACAGTACAGATACTAATGTGATTTATTTAACGACATTGTTAAATATAAATAGTGTTATTATCGTATTTAATGGTATCAAACATTACTGTTAAATTAAATAAGGCCATGGTTTTAGTCAGATAAATTATCCATGATATCTTATAGGATGTTTATACTGTTAATTGATATATAAACCATGATTATTATGCTGTGTGCATTTCAGGAAATAAATGGACTGTTTAATTATGTCGCATTTATATTATATGGATGTGTTGCCATATAGAACCATATGAGCTGGCTAATAAGTTTAGACTCATTTATACCTTATGCATTCGTTGCGATAGACAGATGTGTGGCTGTCGGGGTATGTGGTTTAATATTATTGGCATGTGTTGCCTAATTGACATACTCGGTATATTTCTTAATATTGTTGGCATGTGTTGCCTAATTTATATGCTCAGTATATTCATCAGTACTTTGCGAGGTGTTATCACTGTGTAGTTCGTTATAGTCTGTGTTGTCAGTACCGTGCACCATGTATAATAGCTGATTTCCCGGGTAGGGAAAGGCGACACTTAACCACCTAGTGTGAGTCTAAGTGATCACCGTCTATTCTGGTTGAGGTCATGTTATACATCGGATAGTTCCCATAGGATGTATACAGATATAGTACTCATCCGATTCATAATGATTAATTTATTTGATTCTCTGATTTGGGTCATAGTAGAGAGGACTTGCTCGTGGGGTTGACCCACCATTGTTGTTATTTCAGGATACGGTCAGTATCCGTTTCAAGGCTGAGGTTAGCAGTGTGGGACCATCATCCGAACTCATCTACTCCTACGATCCAGTGCAGGGTAGAAGTTTTATGTAGTATTTCAGTTTCAGTTTTTATTTACTTTTGACGTTGAACTCTCAGGGTTATATTTAGGGATCCCTGACGTAGGATTTCCAAGTTGTAATGAAGTACTGTATTAAATAAAGGATGGATGGATGTTGTATTATTTAATGTTTCTTTCCTGTCTAAATTCTTTTATTTCCATCATTTTGTATTCCATGCTTGTATATTGCCAATTGTTTTTGATATCCCTCGTTTTTCG